TTTAATTCTGTTCTTTTTTATTCTCAGAGGGTCCTACATAGAGTCCTTGAAGTGGTCTAGTTGCTAAGTGCTGTTTGCTGTTCCATCAGTTGTCCGCTTTAGAGCACATGTGTTTGCATTGAGTCTGATATTTAGGGTTGATTTAAACTAGGTCTTGTGAAACATGCAGGCAAGCAGGATGGAATCTTGTGAGTAGCAGTCAGGCTCACTGGTTTTTGCCAAGGGATATTCCTAGAATAAGTGGAAATGCTGTAATCATCAGGATCCTGAGAACAAGTTGCTTGCAGTCAGCTGATTTGATTCCAAGTAGAAGCAAAACAAAACAAAACAAAACAACCCTCAACTTCCATGTAACAGCAAGTGGTAACCATTGTCTCCATGATCTCATCTTAAACTTTTCCAATCCCATTACAGTATTTCTCTGCTCTTCTGGTATTGATCGTTACTTCCCAAAACAATTGCTTTCAATTTTTTAGGCCTTCAGGCTTATCATCTGGTTTATGCAGTTTTCCCCCTTTTTTGCTATGTTTATGATCCTATGACTTTATCAAGTGATGGTCCCTGTGCCACTTTTTAATAGTGTGGCTGACAGGAATAGAATCAAATTGAAATTTGGAATGAAAGAGAAAAACTCTTCTGACTTTTTGTTTTGTTGTGCTCTTGAAGAGGATGATTGTTCTGGCTTACTTCTAGTTTTGGTCAAACACGTAGTACCTGGATATTCAAGTTGGGGAGATGAGGCAGTGGAGAAGTTGATTGGACTGTTTTTATTTTGTTTTGTTTTGTTTTTTTGGAGCAGCTTCTCCTTTCTAATGGGAGTAAAGGGTGGTAGGATGAGTTGGGTAGACAGAGGCTAGGAAATGTAGACCTGTGTGTGGGAAGATCCTTCTTTTACTTCATTTCATTGTATAAACTGTCATGGTGGAAATCATTTTAAATCTCACCAATTAAACCAGCCCGTGAGCTCCAGTTTGGTCTATTATCTCTTGCTTTTTCTTCACTTTACTTGATTCTTGAGTTGTGTTCTCAAGAATCCTACAACTGTAAAGCATATGTAAACTTATTTAGGAGATTCCTACTCAGAAAATAGGACATTCAGATATGTTTTTACTTTTTCCTCCTTTTATGGATGCAGTGGAGGCTCAGGCCTACCCAGCTATTATGCTTCTTATCCTTTTGAAGACATAAATACTTTTTAAATCCCATGGCTTGGATCATTCTATAAGTGGCCATGATGAAAGTTCTCATGTTCTGAATTTTAAAGCGGCTGGAAACTTAGGTATCTGGAGCTGCCCATTCTGATTTTCACCAGACTACACAGTATTCAAAGACAGTAGCAGTGCCTTGCTGCGTCATTGGAAAGAGAGCCTCTGTCTTTCACATTCTCACACAGGGAAAATTCTAGTTTGTAGCTGCCTAGAAATTACATGTTGAGAGTATCTGCAGAGCCTCTTCATTATGGTACAGAAGGGAGAGATATTTTAGCTTCCTATCTACATGCAGAGGTATTTCTGGTACTTTAATGGTTCATTCAGAGAAACATAGGAGAGAAAATGGCTTCCACCAAGTAACAGATTTATACATGTCACCATCATTTAATGGTTCCTTTTTTTTATTCCTTATTTCTAAAACCATTTCCCCAGATGCTTTACTGGGGCAATTATGCTCTCTTTACTTCAAATTTATTTTCTTTGTTTTCATTCCCTATTCTTGTCTTTTTGTGGGTATATCTTGTCTTTTGGTGGTTTTTCTTTTTCATCCTTATTTTCTGAACCTGTCTCCTGGTTCCTCGTTCCCTGCATGCCACTAACTATTTTCATTAGATATTAATTGATTTGTGAATTCAGGCTGAATTGCATCATCAGCAGATGGCGGATCCAGACCTGTTGGAAGAGTCCTCATCCCTCTTGGAGCCAAGTGAGATGGGAAGAGGCACGCCTTTAAGACTTGGGTAAGTGCCATGTCAACCTTTCTTTTTTTTTTTTTTTTT